AAAAAAAAAAAAAAAAAAAAAAAAAAAAAAAATTAATTACTGAACTGCAAACAGGCCTGTTGTATAAGCCCACTGGAATCAGGAGGTGCCATTTGCACCCTGTGCTGCAAATATATGCTGCTTTTAACATAGTTAGTGTGAGTTGCCCTGCTGAAGATATGGACGGACTTCAACCCGAAGTAGTGGTCTGAGTAAGTATCCATTTTTCTGTCATCGGTCTTCACTGAGCTGTGTGGCATTGCTCTTAGTCCCCAGGTTAGACTAAGTGGCAATGCCCATCTTTGTAATAGCACCTTTGCTAGCTGTGAAGGGACAATCTATACAATAAGAGAGTATCGCTTTTTTTTCTGTTACACAATGGAATGGCCTTGTTGGTTAACTATGCAACTACAAAAGATGCTTTTATTTCACATGAAGCAGGGATGCAAACTTGTAAGTGAAGGATAAACACTGATGTTTCTGATAACCAAGGTGAGCTGCCTGGTTTCATAGGTGTCTTTCAGACTTCTGAAATAGTTGATTGGTTGCTCTTAAACTTTTTTAGACTTTTAGAGCCACTGCTTAAGGATTTTACTCCATAGATTTGCTCTTGATATGTTGAAGTGCTTTATGTGTTAGAGGCCTCTCTTCTCTTCCGAAGTAAATACTGCATTATGGAGAGAAGATGCCTGTAAGTGGGATTTAATTTTAGTGTTTAGCTGATGAACTAGCTCAAGATCCCTAATGCTAGTCTCAAAGTACTCACTCTCTTCTTTCCTGTGAATGAATCTCATGATAAACCAGTGACTAGTTGTTTGGGGTGTGGCTGATAAGTGCTATAATGCTAAGCATGGTATTTTAATATATTTTGTGGTTTTAATGGTGTATTCTGCATGTTGCTTTGAAGTTCTCTAGGTAGCTCTAGTTTCATGATGTTCCTGACCCAAGGAATGTTGGAAGAGGTCACTTACCCATTGAGAACACAGTTATGCTATGTCTGTATTCAGTAGCATATTAACAAATAACATCCTTAATTTATAATCGATGGAAAGCTTTCTTAGGTAAGCTTTGGTGTGCACCTGCTGACCTTTCTGATGTGTTCACAAAATTGACCTTTAAGCAAATGTAGATGGAAAACTTTAATAGCAATAACTTCCTTCTGCAGGTGATGGTGTGGAAGACTAACTTTGATGCAGCAGATTATGGCGATGTACTGAAAACACAGAAGTCTGGCACTAGTGTGGATGGGACCCATCACACTCTGGTAGGTCAGCATACAGAAATCGCATAGAGTTGCTTTTCAGTACACTTTCTGCAACTTGAAAGCATGTGGCTCTTTCAGGCAGTTGAACTATAAAGCCATCTTTTCTTAGTATTTATTTGAGCTGCAGGATGTCTGTTTTTAACCAATCTTGTACTGTTTGTTTTGTTTAACTATTTACTTTATAGGAAAGTGATATATAATGATTTTAAAAGGAAATAAATTTACTGCATGTATATATGCATTTTTAATAAAAACAGCCTGTGTTTAAGAATGTGTGGTAGGCTTGGATAGTGCACAAAAAAAGCACAGACGTGAGTAACAGCTGAAGTCAGTTTTGCTAGCTGATATGAATCCTTAAGGCTGGTGTCAATCCTGAAAATAGATATTGTTCATGATATCTTTTTGCTGACAATCAGCAAAGACAAGAGAAATCTCTGTGCATGGACTTCACACGTAAGAAATAGGTGATGTATTATTCTGGAGCTTCGTTCCTAAATACTTGGAGACATCAGTTCATACCTGTTGCCTGAACCATGTGTTAAGAGACATCTGAGTTCTGACTGTATCTAGTGGATAAATCCACCAACTGAGTAATTCAGTATGATGTGCTGATCTAAGTGTAGTACTGATGTTGGATGTCATGGCTATTACAAGAGTAACCCTTTAAAATTACTGCCAATATGAGTTATAAGTTTTGCACATGGTGATGCTTCACTTAAACTTCTGTATTTTGTCTTGTCAATCTTTGGATATTTTTGATACATTTTAGTATACCAACAGGATTCTGAAATATGTTATTACCGTGGCTGGTTTTGGTACATCTTGTTCAACATGAGCTGTAAGCTAAAAAGCAGTTTGTGAACCGGGGGGTTTATGCATATGTGGCATTGCCACAGAGCAACAGATGTTGGCTAGAAGCTTACCTTTCAACTGAGGCAATGTCTTTAATCTTATCAACTTAGATCTTCTTTAGTGGGCTACTAAGCTTCTGTTCTCTCTTAAACATAGTAGCGTTTTTATTTAATAGACTTCAGTCCATTGCTGGAGGTGATGGAATAGCCGTAGTATTTTGTGATGGACAAGATCAGAGTCTAACTTGCTGCAGCTCTAAACCTGATGCTTTACTATGTGGAGTACTCTGTAAAGAAAGCAAACACAACCCCAGAGGATGTTAGTGCTAGGTGAGTGGGAGAGGATGGTAGGAAGCAATCCCAGAAGGAAGGAGGAGGTAAAAGTGTTTATTGATCCTCGGATGGTTTTGGCTAAAACTGACTTCTTCCTTTTCCTCCTCTCTTGTGTGCTAACTCTAAAGTTATGCAGGCTATGAAAGTAGCAGTCCAATGACCTCTTTGTTTATTAGCCTATTGAACTGGACTAACTTTGAACTCTATCTGCTTTAATTTAAGATACTGTGTAGTATAATTCTAGGCTGAAATACAGCAGAGACAAAGAAAGCCTTTATGGGAAGAAATACTGTTTTCAGTTTGTAACATTCCAAGGAATGGCTTAAATAATGTAGGCAAGGTGTCTGCTAATGGGAGATTATGGTAAGCTTACCCCATCTGTACTGCTGCTATTATCAGAGCATATTATCCAGTAGCAATTAAGGAAAGGAAGGAAATGCCTGAGCTCTTCTAAAACATAGTTCTTCGTTATAGCACCTCTTAAGATGTGCATTGAAAGTAGCTGCTGAACAAAACCCTTGAACAATGACTAACCACCCTGAACATCTGTCCCTCCAACAAAACTATTCCCCTGTGGAAGAGGGTTTACCTGGCAAAACCTCTAATAGATGCTGCTGGGACCAACTGTTTGTGTACTACTGACAGGCAAATCCATGTCGTGGTGTTGGTTGACAAGGGGTTGCTCTACTCATGCTCTGAGCCTGTGGGAAAGAGGGCACTGCAAATTATTTGAGGTGTAATATATTAGTTCGGACCAGGTGCTGTGTTTTTACAGAGGGCAAAGTGAATCCATGCTGCGTCATGTGGAAGAGACATACTTTGGTTTGGGGACGTAAATTACTTCAAAGGAGTGAGTATTTTGAACTGCCACCCAAATGCAACCTTTGGCTTGGGCATGCAGCGCAGGAGTACTGCTGATCCCAGCAGTACTATCTGAATATAAAAAGTGTTGGAAAGTTACTGTTACGTACAACTTACAGAAGATCAAATTGAGTGATAGTCAGTAGGATTATTCCTTCCTATTTACTCCTTGGGGAAATGTGGTGTTACCTTTTGGTCTGAATAGCACAAATGATGCTTCCACTAGATCTGCCAGATTAGCTATGAGTACGAACAGAGACTTGTAAATTAAACCTTTGAATGCCTTCAACAGTAAAATTATCCCTGGTTAAAAAACAGGGGTGAAGGTGGTTGCAATGGAGAGCTTGGGTGCTAGCTGGCACAACTAAGACCAATGTCTTAGTCAACTAAGTCTGAAGTTGTGATCTCTTTTATGCAGTGAAGAACACTGTTTTGCCTTGAAAGTGTGATGCAGCTCTGTCCTGCTATAAAGGAGAGGAGTTTCAATTTTTGTCTTGCATCACATTGTCTTGCATCACATAGTCTGATTGGTGCTGCCAAAGCCAATATAGTCTAAACTTTTTGGGGGAGTATCAGCTGTATTGTGGCTGCCTGTTACAAGAACAATCATCTAGCATGCTAGAGCCTATACCTGGTCTCTACTAAGAGCTCAGTACACTTCATGAGAATGGAAATGCAAAAATATGACTAGTACTTAATATCCTTGTGTATTAGGTTATTAGGAATGCAACACTTCAATATTAAGGCAGTTATAATTGCTAAAGTTAGAAGGGGAAGAATAAACAATGTAGTCTGAGAGCCTGTTTTGAATACCATAGGTTAAGTTTAAATTTAGAATTGATATGAAATGTTCTTTGCTGTTAAAAAGCTGATATGTCTGAAAATGGCTTGATTTGTTATTCTAAGGAATAAGTATACCCTGAGCATGGAAATCTTGGCTCCATAATAACTTGTCTGTTCATGGCAGTCTACTCTTTTCTTTCAAGTGAATTTCATGACACTTATCGCTTAGAAATGTATTATGCTGGGCTCTTTAAGAGTACTGTCTCTGCTGTAAGTCTTGCTGTTACTGCAAGACTTAAATTTCACTATATATTCAGTTCCTTCTTGTTTTGAGTGAAATGTTTGATTTTTTTTTTTAATAGTGAAGTACTTATTTTGGTGGATTTTGTGTAGTTGAGATCAGTTACTCTTCCCATCAAAATCAGACTTGAAGCTGCCACCTGTGGCTACTGATTTCATGCTGAGCTCACCTTTACATTCAATGAAAAGTGAAGCTGCTTCATCTTTCCCTACTGCTGTGTTAGTGTGATGGGATTCTGCTTCTTGAATAATACTGAGATTTTGCAGACATTTTTGAATGTAACTACATTTAAAACAGGTGCATAGGTTATTTAGTTTTGGTACCCCTAAAACACATGAATGCTATTCTTGACACATCTTGAATCTGTTTCCACCCTTTACTTAAGTCAGAGAGAATATTTTTCCAAGGAGAGCTTATGCTCTCATGTATAGCTGTAATTTTTTTAAGAGTTGTGAAAGCACAAATACTAATCAAAACAGTGGTAGTGTAAAAACACTCAGTTTAGTATCCAGTTTCTCATGGGGAGAGTCAGACTAACATGCAAGTGCTAAGAAAGAATACCTGAACACAGACACCAAAACTAGTTTGTCATCAAGATGAATAGGAAGAAAAAAGAATCCTAAATAACCCGTGGGACAAAAGAGGTATGAAACCCTGTCAAGGTTGGTGAGCCTGAAAACAAACTTGCTCTAAAACAATTTTCACTTCCATAGGCAGAGGGAGACTGGAGCCTTTAGAAGATGCTGGTTTCTCAGGCCGTTGGTTAAAGTTCGTTATGAATCAGGGTATTGGGCTTGTTTGCAACAATAGTCATGAACTTCAAAGTTGCTCTGCCCACCTGCTTGTGTTTTCTGTAAACATATGAGGCTTGGGAGATGCAGCTTGCTTTGAAAGTAAAACTGCTCTGTGCAAGGACTAATGCAAATGAAAAGCTCATGATGAGCAGGAATTGCAGTCATGACTATGGTGTAAAAGCAGACGTGAAAGTGTGATAAAGAAAACACTAAAGCTGTCAGAAGTGAATTATAAATATCTGTTAGCGTAGATATGAGACTCTGTTAGATCAGAATTACAGTAGCTCTGAAATAAATGCTTACTCTTAAATTGTAAGCTAATGATTGTTGCTAGTAAGTGTTGCATAATTGCCTTGAAAACCAAAGTTAAGGACAAGCACTCGTGATGCGTGCTGTATGAAGCTGATGGGAAGAAATGAAGTCTTATAGTCCTGTGTCTTGATCCTATAAGCATTTGTGTTTGCTTTGATCTAGAATGTAAGGGGTTAAGAGTAAATTTATGCTTTAAGCTGCAATATTGAGTGGTGAGGACCTAAAGGAAAGTCAGAATAAGAGGTACAGATTTTGCATGTGATTTCATAAATATGGGCTGTTATGCTTGTCCTGGGGTCAGTAACTGTAAGCATAAGGGTCTGTATGAAGATTTGTGTAGGATCAGATAAATGACATGCTCCTGGATCTAATATGTTGTAAAAGCATTCATCGTACAACTTGTTCTTTCCAGAGAAGGCAGATAATGTGTTTTATTTTGGGGGTTTGGTGGTGGTTTTTTTGCAAATACAAGGAAAGCTTCGTACATGTGGTTGCAGCTGATGTGAGTATACAAGAACACTTGTTTCATTATGTGACAGATTTGCTTCTATTGTTGACTAATTCCGAGAAGACTATGTATGGTCAAGTTTTATGAGCAAATGCTGAACAGTTGATGTCACATGGACGGTTAGAAAGTGCTTGGGTGTTTAGATAAGCTTCTACACTGAAAATTAGGAATAAAAACATGGTAGTATAAGCTAAGTTGGTAAACAGTTTTTCATGCAATGTTATGGAAAATAGGAAATATTCATTGATACAGAGATT